AGTAGCGGGTGTGAGTAGACACTGTTAGTAGGATAGGTAGTGGGTGTGAGTAGACACTGTGTTAGTAGGATAGGGAGTGGGTGTGGGTAGACACTGTGTTAGTAGGATAGGTAGTGGGTGTGAGTAGACACTGTTAGTAGGATAGGTAGTGGATGTGAGTAGACACTGTTAGTAGGAAAAGTAGCGGGTGTGAGTAGACACTGTATTAGTAGGATAGGTATGATATGCAGCTTCCATATCAACCTTAGCCATCAAAGCCCCACGCCCGGCCCCCTTTACCAACTCAACCGCCTGGTCGAATGATGCGTAAGAGACTGAGCACAAGTCCTTGTCGATGTCATCATTCACCAACGCTCTTTTTGGTTACGAAAGGTGGTGAATGAGCCTAAAATTCCCACCTCAAGAGGGGAGACCAGCAAGTCAGCCAAAGGGGCGCCAAGAAAGGGCGTGCTATCCTGCCCAACTGCACTTTTGCCAGCTTTTCCCGCACCATCCCCGGGAACTCCGCCACCAATCTTGAGATTGCACAACCCCGTGTCCCGCCCCTTTCTTGGAAGGGAATAAAGAAACCCAGCCCGAAACCAACCCGGAGCAACTCGGCATCTGCCCTATTACCATAGCGGCTTAGCCATGGCTCCATCGTGTCTAGCTTCACCCAGAAGGTGCCCCCTCGACCAAGGTAGACACCCCAGTTCCCCCGTTTTACCCTTCTTGAAGCATCGGCTAAGTCCGTGGGAGCCCCCACAGCCCAGACATTCATGTTTGAAGCGACAAACATGCACTGCCACTTGCACTGGCCTTCTTTGAAAAGCTAGCATAAGCCCTTTTGGAAGGTGGCTGACGAAACGAACTGCCTCCTTGCGCCGGCCATTTGCTGAAAGGGCTGCACCTACTGTGCCATCATTAGTTTCATCTATGCCACCCTCCCGTCCCGCCCCTGGGAGCACCTACTTGCAACCAAAGCCTCCCACCGTGCGCCGCCATACCACTTCTCCCCTGAGGCCTGGATAGCCCCGCCCTGGGGACTACAACTCCTACCATCCCCCGTCCATTTGATCCCACCTCATAACCGGATTGGCTGCCAGCCGTTGCCAGAACTGCTCATGCCAGCCCTGCCTTTCCTGATACTCCTTCAGCATTTTCACATGAAAGGACTGCTGGATCCTTTCATATGCACAGCTGGCAATAATGTAGTTAGTGTCGCAGAGTTCGGCTACTACTTTATACGGGCCCTGCCAGGATGCCTGGAGTTTGTCTGCTTTCACAGGTTTGAGCAACCTGGAAAGTGGGCTGTCGGGCACCCCAATAGTACCATCTTTTCTGCCTTCCTTGGGCCGCCTGGAGGTTCTCTCTTACCATCAGAGACAGTTGTTCCATGCGGTCCCAAAGTTCTAGGATATAGGGTACAATGGGGGTCGCTTCCTGCTCGGTCTCTCCCTCCCAGTGGCCTCTGATGAGTTCAAGTGGTCCTCGTACCCTTCTCCCATAGAGCAACTCGAAGGGAGTGAACCTCTTTTACCTCCCTGTATACAAATAATAAGTGAGGCAGAAATCTCTCCCAGTCTCTGCGGGCGTCAGTAAAGGTCCCCAGCATTTGCTTGAGGATTCCATTAAAGCGCTCGCAGAGACCTTTAGTCTGTGGGTGGTAAGGTGAACTCAACAGGGGCTTAATGTTGCACACGTTCCACAACTGCTGGGTGAGAACAGCAGTGAATTGTGTCCCTTGATCGGACAGGATCCCCTTAGGGAATCCCTCTTGGGTGAATATCTTAACCAGGGCATCGGCTACCATCTCTGCCTCGATATTGGACAGAGATACTGCCTCTGGATATCTGGCCGCATAGTCCACCACAGTAAGAATGTACTTCTTCCCGGATCGACTAGGTCTGGCTAGGGGACCCACAATGTCAATGGCTATGCGGTAAAGGGGCTCCCGACCCTAAGGCCAGACATTAGTCTGGCCTTAGGGTGGTCCCCCCACTTTCCTACCTGTTGACAAGTGTCACAGGTCCTGCAATACTGGTGCACATCCTTATTAAAACTTGGCCAAAATAAATTTGGGTAATCCCATGGGCTGTGCGGCATATCCCTAGATGTCCTGCTAGGACAGAATCTCCAGATTTTATTTCTTAGGTACTACCAGCTGTCGCTTCTGTGAAGGAGCCCTACCTGCCGTAAATTTCTGGGGAATCCGATATAATCTAACCCCCCCACTCATCAGCTCCCCTCTCCTGGTTGTCTGGGCCTATACTTCTGATGGGTCAGATCCTCCCGAGTTTCCCTTTCAAATGCCTCAGGGGTATCCCAACCAAGGGGAACCTGATCTAAGGTCATAGTCGGGGTAGGTGTCCTTACCTGGGTCTCCACGACAGGTGGGCCGGTTCCAGCAGCACGGGTCTGGGCGCGTGTCCTGCGGGGCGTAGGCAGAAACAACGGGGGCCAAATAATTCCCCAATAGTGCGTCGGCTGGTAACGCCTTCATGATGCTCACCCCACATTCACCTGTCCAGAGTCAACTCCCCAGTCCAGGTGAACGTGGGCAGTGGGTAGGCAGTAAATGGCTCCTCCAGCCACTCAAACTGCTACAGTGTGTCCTATGTGCTCACTCTCTGGAATCAGGGTCAGAGTAGCTCCAGTGTCTCTTAGCCTGCTTTCCCATTAACCAGGATGTGACAAAGTGCCCTTTGCAACTTGTTCTTGGAGAGGACTAATGGCTAGCC